GGTGCTTGTTCCCTGCCACCAAATTGCCTGTAGCCTAGTGGTTACAGCTGAAGAAAAAAATAAAGTATTCAGCTTGTTTGGACATCTAGCAAAAATACCCATGTGACATCCTGCTACTTGTAGTCAAAATACCAGAGTAAAATCCGTCCGCTGGTTTTATTACCAAACTCAGGGATTTTTACCTGCCAAAACCCATGGCAATATGCTACTGAGGTAAAGTACTGAAATACTGCCATTAAGGGTCTTATAAGGTTTTATAAGGCTTTTATTTTCTTAATTAATCCTGAAAGGTCACTAGTCACTGTATCAGTTGCTTACTGAAGACTCTCTATGAATATGAAAAACAAAGTGAAAGCTTCTCTATAGAGCTGTAGGCTCTATAACACAAGCTACTCCTCAGTTGCTGTAGCAGCAGTAACTTAAGTGAATTGGCTTATAGATTTTTAGCCGCTTGGTGAAGTACCCTTTCTATGTATTCACTAGCAAATGCATTTTCATGTTTCTTATTTTACTTTGGGAGTGATGCTTTGAAACTGTAGAAAGAATGCAGTTCTGGTGCCTACAGAAAGGACTCTGAGGGCTCCCCAGTGAACATTTCCCTATGCCCTGGGACACCTGAAGTTCTTGAGTAGATCTTTGCTCTACATGGAAACAAAGTGCTCTGAAATGATAGTCACCACAGACTACTTAAGATGGCAACAGAGATCTCTGAACCCCTTAGCAATCATTAGATAACTGCCACAGCTGGAAGTGTCCTGAGAAGAGAAGAAGAGGGAAAAATGGACTCAAAATTAAAAACCAAGTGGGACAACTGAAAATATTAGAACAAACTTTGAATGTCTTAAAAATGGTAAGAAGAAAATTGCGAGCAGCTGGCACGGTTTTGTCAAAATCAGGAACATTTTTAACAGTCCCACAGTAGTGCCTCATGCTTAGGTCTAGTCAACACTTCCAGTAAAGTCTCGGTGGACTGAGATGTGCAGATGACAATAGCTTGTATGCACAGAAGACAGTAAGAATTCAAATTCAAGAAGGTAGTAAGAGGTACCTTCCTAAGTCAAGAAGCTTTCTTTCAATAGCTGATTAATAAGTCAAATTGCACAAAAGACAAAGAATAATTCATTAAGGAGCAAAAGATTTGGGGAGCTATTGTGGGTTACAACACAAATAAGACAACGCTTGGGAGCAGGAGAATCTCACTTCTGTTGTGCACAAGGTAGAAGTAAGCCTCGGCAGTACTACTCCATCCAGCCTCAGGCACTTTGCTTTGAGAAAGATGTAGGCAGATTAGAGATGCACCAAAGGAAAAACACTAAAGAAATAAGAGACTATAAGGATGAACAGATACTCTGGCTCTTCTAGGAGAGACGGCTGAAGAGGGAGGCTGTTATGGAAAAGATGGGAACATTATTTTTTTTTGCTTCCTCAGTGACATAAGGCAGGAAGCAGCCAGCTTAACTTGCAGCAAGATTTCAGCTAGTTCATGGAAGAAAAATTTAAGTGTTTCTGTGACTTCCAGTCAGGTTCTGCATTGGACTCGCGCCATGGATCCCACCAGTGGTGGTATGGTTAATAGTACTGACAATTCTTTGACCAATTAGGAACTCTCAGTTCAGCACTGATAATTAGAATATTTCTGTTGGTTGTCGTATGGCTGTAGACTTTAAAAGACAGTTGTATGTGGTTGGATGTTCTCATCAAATTGATTTGATGTCAGGTTAAAAAGCCAATCGACCTGGAGAAGGCTGGTTCTACTGTGTCTCTTCCAGGCAGATTGTTTGTCTGATAAAGGGGTCCCTCTTTCTCCAGGGACTGTAATGGAGCTTTATGCAATCAACCAGTCTCATTAAACATGTAGGAGATCAATCTCTGCCTAGTTTGACCAAAGTTAGTTATCTCGGGGAATAGTCAGAAGCATGTTTTAGGCTTGTATAAGCCTCATCTCCACAGAAAACAGACTTAACTGTAAATGGGGATAAGATTTTTTTTTCCCAACACACGCAGTAATATAATGAAATTCTTATGGAAAACTGGTGTTCTATCCCTCTTCAAAAAAAAACCATTTTTTTTATCAGTCTACCAAAGAAGTACTTGCTATTGGGGAGGTGGGGGTGTGTCAGCTGGTGGTTCTTGCATAACAGCTCCTGAATATAAAGCTAGAGGCCAGGGCTGGGATGCAGCTGGAACAGGTTTGTGCAGCCGTGTGGAAGGGATATGCAGTGGGACTTAGAAATGTACAGGGAACAACAAAGAGATTTTTTTGAAGAGGACATGCAAGATCTTCGTGACAAAGGAGGCAACAGGAAAAGGAGAGTCTCTTAGTTACAACACAGAAAGAAGGAAAGGATTAGGGTGGGCTGGAATGCAGAGCTTTCCTCTCGCAGGAAATGGTACCATTTGAAAAAAATACAGATTTTTATTTTTATTTAAATAGGGTTTTCTTCTACTGGAAAAACTGTTTCAAACAGTTCAAATGGAAAAACATTTTCAAACTGCTCTAAGAAGAAAATAATGTTGGTTAACACTTCAGCTTGTCTTTTTTTTTTTTAATAATAAACTGCTTCTGGGATAGGTGTTAAAGGCATATATGCACCTACATTTGGCATAAAGTTGAGAGCACAGGGTATCCAGCCAGGGGAGAACAGGGCCAAGCAAGTGGTACCTCAGCAGGATCTCCTTGGCTTATCCTGTAGTGCTGTCGTCTGATGCACCTTGCACCCAAACAAGCTGTAATTGACAGCCAAGACTAATTACCCAGACAACTCCTGGTACTCAGGCTAGCTTGTTTTATGAAGAGGGTTAATTGCTGCTGACTTCCAATGATGCGCTGCTAATAAACGTGGGTAAGAACAAAACAGAAGCCAGATGGATGCCAAAGGAACTGATCCCTGGATTCCCCAGTGTGTGGATCTGACACTGTGTATTAGCAGCAGGCAAAATTGCAGGCTGGTCATTAATATTAACATAGATACTTTCTTCTATTTTTCCTGCTATCAAGAACAAAAGTAGGATTAGGCTGTATTTTGTTTAATGAGGGGGATGTTGATTTAGACCTCTGACATGTCAGTTCACATTTACCTCATCAGGGAAGACACCAGTGAGGTGCAAAATCTCTCTGGAACGTAGGGCGGCAGCAATGCAATTGCACACCCCCAACTTGCACCTGATCTTCCCGCACAGGCAGGGAGAGCTTGGTGCTCAGAAGAGGTCCTGGAGGTATGGCAGGTCACTGCGCTCCTGGAGCACTTGAACTTTCTACCCAAAATTCAAAGTCAGTAAAGATGTTACTGCAGGGTTCTCCTTCCAACAGTGTACCCAGGCTGAGCATCCAGAATCCATCTTTCAGTAGGTAATTGGGCACACTGAGGTTGAAGGTTGCAATTATTTATAATGCATGGTGTTCACTGAAAGACCAGCAGCATTTGTCAGGCACTGAGCATTTCGGCGATTCCATCCTCTAGAGCAATACCCACGCATGCCTCTTGCCCTATTTTGAATGCTTCAGCAGAGCCTGCTTACATGGTGGACCCCAGACCACCCATCCATTTTTGTCCCAGGCTTCATGCATGTTTGGGTACAAAAGGAGAGCATCTGCTGCTGGCTAGCCAGAGGCAGTCGCTCAGCCTGGAGGTGGGCAGCCCAGCACACAAGGTGCAGTTGTTTTCTCCACAACTGTCCTTACCCAGCCAGAGCAATTATTAGGAACCAAGACTCTCAAGCCTAAATAGCATGATGTCTTTTTACTGTCCCTTGACACAGCAGTGAATGCCTCAGAACAGAACACAATTCTGTACAGTAAGATGTCAACACATGAAAACCTAGCAACACAGAGCAAGCAAGGTGTGGAGAAAAGTCTTCAAGGAGAAGAAGGGAAGGATCTATGCTGCAGGGTGACTTAATAAGAACAAGAGTGAAACTATTTGCGTTTTAGTGAAAAGCATCTCTGAGTGCCTGGGACTCCTTTTTTTTTATTATTTTATGTGCTGCTAGTGCTTTTAGTTAAGAATATAGCCATTCTGCTATAGATGAAAGAATTGTGACAGCAGTGCCTGTTCCCAAAAGGTATGCCGTGGGAATATGGTTGTATTTCATACCTTCTCAGCTTTGTGACTTGCAGGAAAATATTTAGGAAGCCTGGAAGTGCAAGGAAGTACATGCAGGAGAATTTCAAAAGCATAACTGATAGGCATGCATCTATTTTCACTGCAGTTTAGGTACACAAATACCTGCCTGGATTTTCTTAGTATGGCAAAGGAAAATAATACTCCTTTTCTTCTTCTTCCAACAGTATCTAGCAATACAGATCTCTCCTGATCAGGTGATGTCCTTTGGTGGCTCCACAGACCCCTGTGCTATGTGCTTTCTCTACAGTATTGGCAAGATAGGGGAGCAGGAGAACAAGATCTACTCCAAATTGCTTTGTGACCTGCTGA